GCAACAGGCTGAGTTTCACGGGGCAATAAACTGCGGGGCATTGCTGTGATACCAAAAATTAAGATATTGATCTGCGGTTTACGCCAAAATTCTTAGTTTTTTATGCTCTTTCGAATGATGTATCACAAGATAGAGGTTGCTATTTGAAGAAAAAGTTGGGGGCCCCCCGCGCCCCCCCTGAGGGGGGACCAAAATTTTGACCCCCCCCCAAAAGATGGTCCCCTTTGAGATAGGAACATTCCCAAAATTTCATTACCCTAGCTCAATTCGTTCAAAAGTTAGCAGGGGTGGGACGGACTTTTGGTACACCCTGTATAGTTACTCTAGGAGGAATCGTAGGGCCTAGCTTGGATACCCTGCTGAAATTGGCAATAGGAGCCTGAGTTTAAAAATTCCATAGAAATTCTTACATCCAGCTACAGAAAAAAATAGAATTCGTATGGCTGGTTTTAGGAGGCGAAGGAAATCAAACGGCCGTGCTAAACAGTTTATTGCCTAGCGATAACTTTATCGCCATCGTCTATCAAATCCTGTAAGAAACTGCGTATAGCCGTCAATAGATGCTATAAGAAATCTTATAGCCGGCTACAGGTCTATGGTATTTGGGAACATAGATCCTAAAGCCAATTTTTACCAGGGTAAAGATATACTCTTTTCCCTATCGAATGAAGATTTTCTAGAAAATTGCCGCATGATAGGAGAAAATGGATACCATTTCCGGCTTAGGCAGTCGAATATACAGGATGTCCTAAACCTCACGTGTCAGAATTTTTTCTACTTGGGTTATTTTAGGCCGGACACAGTCCAAGACCACAAGGAGAAAGAGAGCTGACCCGAGGAGTGCAGCTTTCGTCATCCCAAAGCCCCCTCAGTCACCCTTGGGAGTTCAGAGGACGAAGGAGGATTCCAACTTTGGAGAGCAGGATTCTCACCACAATTTTAAAAATAAGCTGAGGTTTAAGATAAATCGATACAAAAAAGTCCACCATCAGCCAATGCCTGTGCGCAGTATTGGTACGGCACTTCGAGGGGAAATTAAATTTTCCGAAAGTGTATCCTCCTCCCCTTAAAACGCGTATGTCGGACATTTCGACTCCTGCAACATTCTTAATGTTAGAGAACAATAAGCAGTCAAAAAGACAAAGTAGGTGTCCACCCTATCGTATGCACCGAAATATATTTACCCACTTATTGAGCACAATACGGAAAAATAACATTTGCATTGTGTACAAGAGAGGATGTGTCCTACCCATAGACTATACGATATACCCATAAACACCAAACATTTTGTTCCGTGTGATGAATTTGCAAAAATTTCATTCAAAATAACAGTATATGAAATTGTCAAGAGACGTGTAGCATTCCTGCAATCATTGAACAGACAATTCCATGCTGAGTCGCAGGATTTTCCCCTGAACATTTTACTTTTTTGCCGTGTCCATGGCTGCAAAATTTTCTGAGTATAATGTAAGTCATAAATTTTCTCCAAAAGGAAGTGTGGATTCCGAAATCTCATAAGCGTTGCAAATTACGTGGTATGCGTATCGGCTTCACTTATTTTCTTGACATTCTGGACTACATCCGGAATCAGCGGAGTACAACACATACACGAAAATTAATCATTATATAAAAGATAACTTCTTTACTGTTCCCACTATCTGAGCGGCAGCCATGGTGGTCACCATTTTGGTTCTTAGAGAACTTTTATGGGTCTGTTTGGGTTTTTGGACCTCATTTGTGGAATTTACGACCCAAAAAACCCATGCAGGGACACCACACTCGACGATACGAGCCTCAACAAAATATTTCACCCCGCAACGGCAGTCATTTGGCCGCCATATTGAAATTGTTGGGCTTCAATAAACCTGTAGCGAAATTCTGACCTCATCGGCGAAATCTGCGACCCAAAAAACCCTATGATAGATATCCTACTCGGCACTTTTACGCAACTCTCGGAGATTTGACCCTATCGTGGAAATTTTGGCGGCCATATTGGATTTTGGGCATCTCTTTGAGCCGGGGACAATTTTGGACCTCAAATTCGGATTCTACGACCGAAATTACATAGTGATAGACCTCATGCACGACATCAAAAACAAATTCCAACATCTTCAACCCTCGAGCCCCCATTTTGGCCGCCATCTTGAATTGGAGGGGTTGGACGAAAAATTGAGCTTGACAACATCAAAATTATTTTTCTACGCATCGAATAGAAGAGATAAGGCCATTGTCCACACTTAATCCATTTACTATTTCACGGGAGGCTTCTTTTCAACATATGCCCGTGGACTAATTTATGCAGGCCCGCGCTGTGCCGCCGCCGCGCGGATCGCAATGGGGCGGAAACCTTAAATTATAGACCCATTATGTAATATATCGTTGGAAAGCTTAAAAGACGCTCTTTTACATGGTGGGTATTTAAAGTGACCTTAATAATGCGATTTCGAAAGTTAAGCGAATTACAAGCATTTTTTCCACACGCGAAACCCGGTTTTTGTGAAAAAAACACCCTGTATATTGTCAAAATCAAAAATTTTGTTATTTTTTTATATTTACCTGTAAATTATCTTTTAAACAAAAAAAAATAAAAATTAAATCGGTTCGGTGGATCTCGATCTATAGCGCCTCAAAGTACGCGCCGGCCGCCATTTTGAATGGCCGCCATCTTGGATCTGCCACCATTTTGGAAATGCCTCTTCGACTCAAAACTCTTAAAATATTATCTAGTTTGACCTCTCAAAGTGGCAAAACTGAATCACGATTTGCAGCGTACTTGCTATAAGCCACCGTACTAATATCAAGTTTCTGCGATATTTTACGGCAAATCGGTAGATTTCTCACTTTCCATTCATGAATGAATAAAGCATGGACATGGTTGAACTTCTTTGCATGGAAAGACGTTTAAAATAACAAAATCAAGACATATTTAATGCAATTGAATTTATATCGAGTCAATTTCTTTTCAATAATATGACGGGATTTATAGTAACGGTGATTTGAGTATTTACGCCCAAAATACCTTTAAATCGACTTTATCTTCTAGGAGTTCGACAGATTTGTTCCTTTTTTCGCTTCAATTATTCCGTAGCACTTTTCTTCAAGAATCTGGTAAGATTTTGCTTTCGGCAGATCAAAAAATTTAAATTCGTTCGAATAGCTTTCTACATTCACAATACAAGGTCTCGTCCAGGTGCGTCGTTGACCTCGCAGTGTTGGGTCGTGAATTCTCTTGTCGTGCTGCTTGCCTTTTTTGAAATCTCTGTAAATGAAAACTAAAGGGGTTGATATGTGCGAGTTAATGACGCGCCTTATCAACACATTGTGTTGGAGTTCACTCCTTGTTTTATCTTTTATTTCTACTTTTTTCATATAATTCGATCCCAGTAATTTTTCAGTGATTTGTGAAGTAGGTACTCTTAATAAAATTGTTTTCTTTCCCATGGTAAAGTGTCATTATTATTGACTTCCTCAATGATTCTGAGCATACAAGATATTAATTTTTTTATATTTCATCTCCTTTCGTATTTTGGAACATCGCTTTTGGCTATAGATAGGATAGGTATAGCTCCTACATGATCCCACTCTACTTAGATTAACATACAAGAAATCGGCGAAGCGGTTCTCAGAGGGCGCGAGGCGCCCTCATGGATTTGGTCGCGTAGCGGCCAGAGGACGCGTGAGCACCCTAGTTCAATAAATAATGTTATGAAAGAAAGCATAATCTTTTACCTGTCTGAAGGTCTTCTATTCGAGGAAAGCATTCGACCAGTGATATGTCATCAACGGCAAGGTGGAATGGGTGAGGAGGTGGAACTATCTCAAAAAGGACTCTGAATTCTTGAAGAATGCGGCCTATTCGAAACTGATGTTTTTCCCACCTGCAACAAAGCAATGTAGTCGTATACATTATAAACAATGGTACACGGAGATGCAACGATATCGTTTGGATATTTTTTTGCTCTCACAATTATCTCGTTGCAGAACTTCAGTTTTCTAAAAATTCAATTTATTCTATTCATTGAAGGGTCAGTCTAGGTCAAATAAAAATAAAAAAAATTGGAATTTCTATAATCAACTCTTAATGGGCCTGTTGCAAACTTTTGCTAGAGCAAAACTAAGAGTTGTTTCTTATAGAT